TCGTCCTCTTCCGTGAGAGCGACGTGGCCTTTGAGCGGATGTGGGAGGCGGTGGACGGGGCCGCGCGGGAGGTGTTGTGGCAGACCTACATCTGCAAGGACGACGAGGTGGGGAGCCGGACCCTGCGCCGGATGGTGACCGCCCGGCTGCGGAACTGCCGGGTGGAGCTCTTGTACGACAGCGGGGGCAACATCTCAGGGCGGACGCGGTTGACCGAGGAGTTGAAGAACTGCGGAGGGAGTGTCATCGCGTATCGCCCCTTTTTTTCTAGTGCGCTGAAATATTTTCTTCAAGGGTTGGATTGGCGAAAGAGCCCTGGACTGCGAAACCACCGCAAAATACTTTTAGTTGATAACGAAATTGGCTTCTGCGGCGGTCTCAACATTGGGAATGAGTACTGCGGTCTTCGTTTAGGTGGAAATAACAAGTTTCGTGATGCACACTGCGCTGTGTATGGCCCCGTCGTGGCGCATCTGCGTGAGGTTTACGACGACACTAAGGCACCGCAGACATGGAAGTACGGTTGGGCACGGTGGCGTCAAATTGCCTCTAACAAGCTTAATCGCCGTATTGAGGTTGGCAAAAATGCAGTCGAGACAGGCATTCTGCGGCCCATCCAGGATGGAACCCGCAAAGCGACCGAAAGAGGGGGCATATATTTCCGTCAACAGGTCCATAAAGCTGAGCGAAGTACCGAACGCATGCTGCGACGTATTCGATGGGAAAAGCAGTGGGAGAAGATCAGCAAATGGGTGACGTGGTATAACAAGAGAGTGTCGACGCTGCTGAATCGCATGTCTGATACAACGATTCCGGAATCACCTCAAAAGTACGAGGGTAGCTCAGGAGCACATGAAACACAAAGCAAGGCAGAAAGTTTAAGCAGTAGCAAACTAGAGGGGGTGCAGCCGGATTTTATCCTAAGTGAGAACTCGCGTGTTGACATCGCATCAGCGGGCTCGCCATGTCCGAAGACCAAGTTTGAAAACCCTCGCGTCGTCAATTGTAGTGGTGAGGCTGGCTTTCTGCCCGATACCAAGGTAGTGGATGATACCAATTCCGTCAATGGTGTTAAAAGTACCCAGTCTGCTGCTATGCAACGAAGGATCGCCAAGGAACGTATTCAGGCGCTCCACAAAGCCACCAATATCGCCCACAAACGATCCTGGACTGGTATGCTTCTCGACATTCCCATCGCAGACAACGAACCGGTCCCAGAGGCGGAGGGGTACAGCTCCCGTCATCCTGCTGAAACACAGATACTCTCGTGCAACCCACGCTACCACGACTATTCCATCCAGTACGCCTATTGGCAGGTCTTGCGGAAGTGCCACCGACGCATCTGGATCACCACCCCGTATTATCTTCCGTCGCGAAAACTCTTTCGCGCCCTCCTCCATACGGCCAGCCGCGGCGTCGATGTTCGCATCTTAGCCGGTAGCAGTCGGACCACCGATCCGTGGTTTATGTGGCACGCTTCAAGATACGTTACGGAGCGTCTCATTCGCGGTGGTGTGCGAATATACGAATACAAAGGAAACCAAATTATGCATGCCAAGACGGTGGTGGTAGACAGTGTGTGGTCCTCAATCGGCAGCTACAATTGGGATATCATGAGCGATAAGAACCTCGAGGTCTGCTTATGCCACCTCGATGCGAAAATGGCACGTGAGATGGAGACTCATTTTCTTGAGGATCTAAAGCTCAGCGAGGAGGTGAAGCTAGAGGACTACCAGAAGCGCTCATTATGGTTGCGTTTCACCTCATTCTTTTTTTACAATTTAGTCTACATCTTACAACGCATTGCATTTTTTTCGTTTGCAGATGACGATCTTGAGGCTTCTTTGTACAGTTCGAAAATCAAGTCCAAAAAATTGCTTGGGAAAAAAGATAACCTGAAAGGAGAAATCTGATTAGATTTGGTTGCATCAATGGAATCCAAAGTCCTTTCATTTAAGTATCCATTAGAGATGGCTTATTTCCTTATTAGATCACTTAAAATAAAGAGAAACTTTGAACATTTGCCTTTCTCCTTTTTTCCTTCCTGATCCAGGGATATTAGTAATAAAGCCATATTGCGATAGCCTGATTCATCTATTGATTTTCGCGTAACTTTTGTCAAATAATCGTAAGGTTATGATTGCAAAGAAATAAAAATGCGTGGATAATGAAAGATTGTTGACATAATCTCTAAAATGTTGGATTATATATTTATATATAATGACCTCAAGATCCATATTTTTTAGGACAATTTGAAGTACCTGGATTGGAACTAATTAAAATAAAACGATTTTAATTGGATTAGAATAAAACGATTTTTAGTTATTTATTTCGCTCCTCCTTTTTTCTGTATTTTAAAGGTTTCGACACCACTTTCTCGCTTCATGAATCTGGGATGAGTAGGGTGTGGCTACCTATTTCCTGACCTATCCCCTTCCCAACCATTTTTACCTTTTCGAAAAGGACCTCACCATTTCAGAGCTGTTTCGAGCAAAAGGAAGCCTCTTCTTCTTCTCTTTCCCCTCCATAAGAAAAAGTAAAAAGAACCTTTGCCGATAACAGTGAAATCCAGCATTTAATAGCTGAGGAGCGTCAGCGCAAGGGATCCTCACGTATCCATCGATCTCTCGTATATCCAACTGTGTGATAGGCATGCGTGCGTTTCTTTCCTTGAAAACCTTCACTCTTGGAGTAAAAGGTGGTTCGTACCTTTTGAGTTGCCACCAAATCTCGACGACGGAACGTTCCACCGTACCGACCTCATCGTCGCGTCCTGTTGGAACGACGCACAGTCAAGACCGTTCAAACATGACAAATAAGCCGCATTTTCCAGATGCTTGTGGTAGTTGTTATTACTTTAAGTCCTTGCTTGATGATCTTAGCAACGCTGTTTCGAGCGTGAGCACTGCAACCAAGGAGAAGGGGCAGGCCTTCCCTGTGACTTCAGCGCTTTCGAAGCCTACTTTTCTACAAGATATGACGAAAAAGCCTTTCAGTGACTCTGTTAAGATGGAAAACAGCGAACAGCGTTCCGATAAATCGAGGTGGATCAAGGGTGTGTTGAGAAGATTCCTCATTGATACCTCCACACCACCGATTTCGCAGGAAGAAATGATAAGATGGCGCTTAGATCGCTTATTACACAACATGAGCCTTTTTATAAGTCCTTGCAACTTTTATAAGCCCATTTATTTGCTGCCCCCTGATGCCATGGTGACGTCGCTTGGTCCTCAAATGGATCGGATTGATTCTTTATACCGGAAAAGGGGCTGGTTCACACCCTCAGAGATGGCCGAGGTCTTCATTGGTATTACGCCAACCTTTTTCGTTGAAACACGCTACATTTTCAATTGCATCCCACCCAATTTACTGCTGAGCATCGAATCAAAATACCCCCGGAGGGAGTGGGCAACCAAACTTTTTGCGAGATATCCGATGATCTTTAAACTTTCCCGCTATACTCTTCAGAAATCGGTGGTGAAGCTCAATACTGACATGTGGTTTGTGCGCGCACACCCTGACTTTAAGAAAGGAAATCGGCTTCATTATAAGAACAATGCCGAGTACCGTGCCGGGATGGGCGGTGTAATGAGTCGGAACGCTCCCACTGGCGGCGTTCCGCCTCCTGGCTTAGACGCTGGCAGCACGGCAGCCAGGGAGGCGATCCAAGGCTCCTCCGAGGCCTTTGTTGGCGGCAAGGAAGCGGCAAAAATGGCTGGAAAAGCTAAACCCATCGATCTACGCATCTTTGATATTCTAGTAAGCCATCTTCCGCGCGTGCCGGCGCCAAAGACCAACCCCTCTCAACTTGGAAACAAATCTGCCGAGAAGAACCCATCGAGCGATTGGGAGGCCGTGCGAAGGATGCGCTACGTGGCGATGCCATTGGTGGAATGGGTGAACGGGTTCTCACAGGCGGAGTTGGATGTTCTGAACACCGTTTCTCAGGCGTACGTTCTGGTCATACTCCAGGAATACCCCTTAGTCTTCCAACTCATGAATCCCAAAGGGGATTCTTTGTTTTTATACGCCGATCGTGATGTGGTTTCACTCTCGCTTCAAAATGGGGTTTCGACGACTTCCGGACGCGCATCGGCTGAGGATCGGGTCGGACCTGCACCGAATGATAATTTGAAAGATGAAAATCCGCTTGAAGAGGATGATATGGAGGCGTGGGGGGAGGATTCTGAAGGCATTCGTAATGAAATAGATAACCCACCTCGTGCTACCGGGGCCGCTCAACCCTGCAGGGATGAAAAAGTGCAGGCGAGAGAGAAGAAACTGCATCAGGCACTTCGAGATGACTTGCTCGGGATCGACGATCTTGCGCAGGGTCTAGATGACGATAGCCAGGAAAGCGAGGAGTTTGAGGATTTGTCGGGGGATTTGTTGGGTTTTGAAGACGATTCCCTCCCCGGTGATCCGCTGGAAGAGGAGGAGATGCAGGATAAGGAGGCCATCTCGTCGAAACCCAAACGTCGCCACCACTTGCTCAATAATGAAACGGCGGACGGAGACAAGAACAACAGCGATACGCATCATTTTCAAGGTCCTCAGGATGTCCCTATTGCATCTTTGAACTTAAATGAGCTGTACGTGCGGCGCCTCCCGCCGGAAATCGCGCCGCGTAGTTTGAGCAACTTCAACAACACGACGACGCCGACGCCGGAGTTGGTGGAGCTCGTCGCCAGCTTCTTAGCGCCGCCTCCCTCTCTCGCAGGGGAGCGCGATAACTTCTTTCTGCGGTGCCAGCAAAAGTATCGACAAGGATCCACGACGATTGGGGTGAAAGGGAAGGAGGGAAGTGCGGCCTTGCAGGTTCCATCCAACCCCCCGCCGCGGCTCTGGCGTTGGGTGCGGATCCAGGGGATCTACCTCGCCCTCAGCCCTGCGCAGCGTCAGGCGATCCGGAGCACGTACTCCGGCCTCGTTCGCTTTCTTCGACTCCACGGTGAGCTTTTTGAGGTGAGCGAGGATATGTTGCACGTCATCGCGCACGATCCGCAAGGTGTGTTGGCGCCCATCGTTCCCACACAAAAGCATTTCCGTTTTCAGCAGCGCGTGGTGCTCCCGAAGTCTTTTGACGAGAACACGAACGCCACGGCCGCCCTCATCGGCGAGGAGGAGCGGCAAAAATACAAGGCGATATTAGGTGATAGCCAGATCCCCGCCACGCGCCGACAGCTCATTCTCCTCGACCCTCATAATCCCCTTCTTCATCGAGACGTTTTGTATGACGAGATATCGCAACTCTTGCCCTATAATTGCGCGATTAAAAAGTCTACGATGATGCAACGGCTTCCACCAATTCTTAAAGCGTCTCTTGGGAAAGGTGCGATCAGCCACCTCATCTCCCATCCCAACGATTATTTTACCGTTTTTGAAGAGGATGGGGTTACCATGATGCAGCGAAAGAATCTTCAACCGCCGACGGGCTCTCCATCGCCGGGGTTGAGCGCGGAAGATAGCGTGGAAGCGCTGCGGGCGGCCGTACCGCTGTGCGGCGCGACGGTCTTCGCCCTCACCCGTCTGCACCTCTCCAAACCCGCTGTGGAGGGGTTAAAACGGCACTTCGGGAGTGTTTATACCGCGGTGAAGGCCTACCCGCAGTATTTTAAGATTTCGGAGAACCCCACCGGTAAACGATCGGAGGCCTTGGTGATGATCGTTGAGTAGGCGGCGAGGGGATGTTCACACCGCCGCACTCATGAAAGGGAAGTTACTCGGTTATGATCTCCTACGCTCCTTCATTATGAAGGGATTTTTTTGGGGGCATTTCATCAGTGGTAGCTTTTTTTGTGCTTTGTGGCTAAACCGTAATACGGGTGGGGAGCTTGGAAAAAAAGATATCGAAAGCCCTTTGGATGAACTAGGCATTGCTAAAGTCATGACAATAACCGCTGTGCTGCTTCCCCCCCTCCCCCCATTCTCTATATCCTTCGACTTAAGTTTCCTCTCATGCTGAAACAAGAATAACAATAGAAGGAAGACAATTTAGATATGCCTCCAAAATTGAAGCCCTTGCCCCCAAGATTTAATATATACCCGCGGACCCCAACCGAGGATCCTTCCGATGAGATCACGGTCGGCAATCTTCGTGTGAGTCCAAACGGCGTCGAGTTCATCGGGGAGGCAGACCTGCACGTCCCTCGGCCGGATCTCAACATCGATAACATGCGTTGGATCTGTCGTCTTGGGCAGGGAACGCAGGGAAACGTCTTTAAGTACATGACCCCTGACGGCTCCGTCTTCGCAGTCAAGCGGATTATCATCTCGACGGCGTCTAAAAACCACATCTACCAAACGGTCGCCTCGGAGCTGCGGAATATCTTTTCGAACGTCTCCAACCCGTATATGGTGGAGCTGTATAATGCGTTTTACCGCAACGCGACCCTACGCCTCGTCATGGAGTACATGAACTGGGGAAGCCTGCAGGAGTTGCTAGCTCAACAAGAGCGGATTTCGGAAACGATATGCGCCTACATAATATCCCAGGTTCTGCGTGCCTTAGAGATATTGCACAAGAAGTCCAACATTCTAACCGAAACGAATCCGGATAAAGGCCGGTATCAAATTCACCGCGATATTAAGCCTTCTAATGTGCTCTTGTCAACGAACGGGAACGTCAAGCTCGCCGATTTCGGTATCGCGACAAGCGCAGAGACGTTCGGCGCGCATTCCTTTGTGGGAACGGCCACGTATATGAGCCCGGAGCGCATCCAAGGGCAGCGCTACGGCACCTCCAGTGATATCTGGAGTGTCGGGGTGGTAACAGGGCAGATTCTTTTAGGCGTGTACCCTTTCACCACAAGCAACATAGGCTTTATGGCGCTGCTGCGAAAAATCACCACGGTAGAATCGATCGACGTCGTGGAAGGGGCCGGATGCTCACATAAAGCGCAGGAGTTTATTGATCAGTGTTTGCGGCAGCTTCCATCGGAACGTAGTACTGCGACAGAGCTGTTGCAGATGCCATGGGTTACAGAAAATGAGGTCAACGGGAAGGAGAAGCTTGTTGAATTGTTAGAACAGTTAGGTAACGCAAATGACCAAGACGCCAATATGCAATGACAGGAACTTAAACAACGGCGATTTGAGCAGCGATGATAAATGTATACTTTGTACTATAAAAACAAACGACTAAATGGCAGACAAAAGAAGAACTATTTGATGAGAGCAAACGGGTGGGAAGAGTATAATTTACATACCCAAAATATTTGATAGATAGAAGGTAAATATTATAAAAACGCAGAGATTGGATTTATTTTCATGTTTACCTTTTCTATACCCTTACCTAGCGTTCTTTAGTTTCGTTTTTTAGTGTGGATCTATTTCCTTGTTCGATTACTAATGGCTAGTATTAGTTAAATCTTTTGTCTTTATGCGTATCTATGGGGGTTGCATACTTTGTTTTCTGCTCTTCTTCCATTTTGTGGTTCTGTATTTTCACTCTTTCCTTGTTTCATGTATTTTTTCCCCTTTCCGAGTGAGCATTGTCCTTCTCCGTTTATTTCTCTGCGTTTCAATCCAACCATAACAGGAGAAGTAACTTTACAGAAAGGAGTGATAAATAAAAACACCAAAGTCTAGTTTGGAAGGGAGCTTGTCGTCCCGTGTTTTCCCATTTTACCTACTCTTTACTAGGGGTAATCAAGGTTAAACACTATCCCAAGCGGTTTGAATCCCATCATTGGTACTACTAGTTTAACCGATGCATCAAACCGACGCCTCGATCCACCGCCCCCACCCTCCGAATGTGGCGGAAGGGCTTTTGCCCGCCTCTCACGGGCCCGCCCCGCCCTCCTCCAAGGGCGGCAAAAAATTAGTTTCCTCGCTCTGCCGACCCTCTGCGATGTTAAATCGATCCTCCTATGGGGAAAGTAGCACAGGGAAACCGTTTCGTTCGAGGGAGACGACGCTGAGTGGGAAGACCCCGCTCTTTCCCAAGGACTTTCAGCTCGTACCGGTTCCCCCGGTGTTTTACGCGAACGGGATGAAGCCGGAGATCTTAATGGACCCCATCGCGGCCTTACGCCAGTGCATTCGCTACTTTTGCAGCCACCCCGAGGTGTACGGGACGGATCTGCAGGACTTACTCTGGCGGGAGGTGTGTTACGTGATGGAGCTCAAAGCCGCGGAGATCTCCTTGATTGAAGGGGAGGCGCGGTTCAACAAGGCCTATGACACCGGCGGCGATGCCCCTTTGGCGAGGATGCGAAACCCCCCGCGAAACCCCTCGCGAAAGCCGCCCCCCCCCCCTCCCCGTCCTCGCGGATCGCCGCCCTTCCGCGGATTCGAAGCACCCCGCAGCCGTCTGGCCGGGAGCGGCCGCGGTCGGCCCGACGCGGGGAGGACCTCAGCGAGCCCGGCGGGACCTTCGGCTACGGCGACGTCACCTTCATGCCGGCCCTGCAGGGCTTCGAGGAGCTCCTCCGGCGGACCCTCACGCGGGCCCGGAAGGAGGAAACCGGCGGCGCCGGGGTGCAGGTTTTGGGCCCCGACCCCGATAAGGTGCTGCCGATTCACATGTGGAACCTCCTCCACGAGTCCATGCGGAAGGAAAGTGAGGCGAAGGTGATTTGTTGGGAGGACGGCCTCGCGGGCGGCAGCACCGGGGGGGAGAATTGGGGGAATAAAGGGGGGATCCCCGCCCTGAGCTGCCCCGACTTGGAGCCGACGAATCCAAGGACGATGCTGCATGGACAGCCGGAACCCGCGATCACGCCGGATAGGTGGAGTGAAAATTTCAAGTTCGATTCCATTCCGAAGGAACGAGAGCCCGGGGCCGCCCAGCTTGAGTCGTTGAATAGACGAGAACAGCGGCTGAGTAGCCACGATACCTTAACCGAATTGGCGTCGCTGCATCATGAGAATATGAATCCACATGATCGGGCCGTGAAGGATGCGTTGCTAAACCTTCCCACCAACGGCCCCCTTTCCCATCGCTGCTTTCTGATCGACGCCGGCGGTTACGAGATCTCCTACCTTCGGAAGCAAATTAGTCAACTAGAGGCCGTTTTTAACTCCAAGTGTATTCAGGTGCACGAGCTTCTTGAGGATAACCAGGCGCTGAATGTGAAGCTCACCGAGGCGCAGGAGGAGGTCGCGCGATGGAAAGCCGCGCACCAAACCGTCCGCGAACAATTAAAGGCGTCGAAAAAGGAGATGGAGACGTGGGTATCGCACGCCAACGAGATGAAGGCGGCCTCCAACTGTCGGATTTCCTCCCCTGTGCTCTCCAGCCGGCATTCCGATCACAGTTTCCTCCACCCCACCTCGGAGCGTCGGGAGGCCGCACAAGGGGAGGCGGATAACCAAACCAACTACCCTCAACTCCTCCACGAGGCGAAGGAGGAGATCGCGCAGCTAAATGCGCTTTGGCGGGAAACGGAGCACGCGATGCAGGAGCTGCGGCGGGCCTTTGAGAACTCCGAGAATGAGGCGAATCAGACGCTCAACCACATTAGTGATGCGTTTTTCTACATCGAGCGGCTGGAGCGTCGGGTGGCGCGGCGGGATGCCTACATCAGCCTCTCCACCCGTCGCCAGGCCTCTTTGGAGGAGAAATACGAAAAGTTGATGTGGTGCTGTCAGGAGATCGGGACCTTCTCAGGGACGATGTCGTACGTGGATTACCTCCTCGCCGATCACCCGGTGTGGTCGAGGCTGCTGTTTATTCGGCTGCAACGCCACGCGGCGGGCTATCGCTTTTTATCCTCCGCCCAAAACCCCTCCAGGCGCCTTTGTAAAGGCTCCCCCTTGGCTTTTGTTCCGACGCCGAAAGGGAGCGTGCTGGAGGATACCGTGCTGAACCCGAGCGTGGTGTACACGTGGGTGTGCAACACCGTGGATGTGGAGGAGGGGACCGTGCATCCTCGCAGCATCAAGGGCTCGCGGATCAACTTGTCGAGGGTTTCGTGCTGTCGGGCGCTCCGCTGGCGTAATCCGTTTGTGATCGATTATCTCAATCTGGATCGTTTCGATGCCGCTTCGTTGGGTTCTGAGCAGATGAAAAAGCGGCTCCCGTTGCTCACCCTTGCTTCCCTTCTATTTCCTTTACGCTCCCATGATGGGGCCGGTCTACTGGCGAGCAACGCACCGCAAAACGAGCTAGCGAACCGGGAGGATCCTTTCTCGGATGAAAAAAAACCCGCCGACCCACCCGCTGCGATGGCGATAATGAATGACAACCTCACCTTACCAAATTCGAGGGAGTTCAATCAAAGCACGCTCCGCTTTCTGCTTCGTTCTTTCTGGCAACAGCGTGTTTACGAGTATAAGCAAAACATGCGTAGCCGTTTGAGTGATCCCATCCAGACGAGCAAAGGTCAGGTTTCCTCCGAGGGCGCCTATCAAACTTGGTCTACTGTAGCTTCTGAGGTCTGGAGTGAAGATGATCTTAAGTTGAAGGGTGAAGGGTCTTCCTCTGATCAAACCACAAGTAAGATGGACGAGAGGCCATCCATGCAGACTTTTCTGAGTGCATTGATCAATTTCGCTATACACGTACTTGTCGAGCAGGATTCTTCGAGAAATACCATTTATCCTAAAACGGCCATTCCATTGATGAAGACGACTCATGATAGCTACACGGTGCGCGGCACGATCGGCGAGGGTGAAGGCAAGGTGTGGAATGATGATCGAGTGTTCTTCGCCGTGGTTCTGAAGGTGAACCCCGCATCGAAAAATGAAGCGAAGGAGCAGCAGCAGCAGCTGGAGCGTGATACGGCCACTTCCACCGCAAACGCCGATTTGATGGTGAATACCGATGAGGTGGTTTCCCAATTACCACCACGCGTTCGAGAGTTCCTTATCAGTCTGTACTACTTCACTATGGAATACAAGGATTCCGATGCGGACTTCCGTCTCTTTTACCTTGTTTCCCATCAGTTCATTCCAGAGATAGTGGGGATCAATTTCTTCGCCTCCCTGGAGGCCATGGAGCATAACTGTTGTGCACGTTTGATCGCTAATGTGAAACCCATCGAGCACACATCCGGTCGTAAGAATTCAAGACAAAGCAGTATCGTGCGCGGGAAAAGTCAGAATGAGGCCGTCATCGATGTATTGCATGCCACAAGCGGTGCAAGTCAGGATGTTTGCTCACCATCGGGGTTCTTAGGCGCCCAGATCGTCTCCTCCGACTCCATTTTTGAACTCCCGGACGATCAAAGCCACAACAGCCCCCATTCGAACGAATCCCCGATCGAACTTCTTCAACACGTGCTCAGCGTGATTGATCAGGCGGAGCTGGTAGGGGAGTGCGAGGAGATAGAAGCCGATAGCGACGCCGAAGGCTACGGGAGTATCTTTCCTCCCGCAAAGAATCAATTGTTATCTAAGAAGCCCTCCGTAGCGCACCCGACGCTTTCTCACACACCCAGTTGTATCTACACCCCTCCATCCGCCCCCCTCGCTCCCGATCACAGCGGTAGTGCGGAGCAAGCCAAAGGAAACGACACCAGCGATGCCGATAGCGCCTTCCGTAAGAACGAGATCACGGCGCGGGAGCTCAAGCACAACATCCGCGACTACCTGCGGAAGATTTACAAGGAGAAGAATATCGAAGACGTCCCGGCCCCCTTCCGCGTCGATGCGGAGAGCGAGGATACGCTTGACAAGAAAAACCTCCCAACCGGAGAAGAGGCTGGAAAAGATGCCTTGGAAAGTCAACACAGCGGGTTGTCGCCCACGTCCTTCCCGCCGGAATGGACGGAGCTTGATCACCAAATTCGCAACGCGATCGGCCCTCACACCTCGCTGATTGCGCGCTTCAAAAACAACGAACCCGGCACATTCGGCGCGATGCGTGAGAAACGATACCAGTTCAACCAGACTCAAACCCAGCAGCTCGCCGCCGCACGTGGTTTGCTATCCCTCAACGAGATTTTGGAGCTTTTGAAGCGGCATTGCTTCGCGACGTACGCCGTTTCCTGCTTTGGCGCCCCACGCTTCCCGCTTTCCAACGCTTTTCTGTCAACGAACGTCGACCACGCGGGCTCTTCTCTCGACGCGCTTTACGTGATTGGGCAGCTCCCACCGACGGATATTCACCTCCAACGATTGCGCTTCGCCTTAGCGCTTGATCAGCCCGGCTCCCTCATCCAACCCAACCGGCTTTTTTCGTTTGATCCCCACACCAGCCATCCAACCCACCTCTACGATGAATACCTCACCCTCACCCTGGATCTCTTTCTTCAGCAGCAGCAGTGGTTGATCGAAGTCATCCAGCGTTCCTGCGCCTCTCGGCATCACCGGTACGTAAGCGAAGGCGCAGGGGATTGCGATGGGGAGATCCCGATCGCCTGCCTGAAGCGGGGGTTTAACGCGGCCTTCGCGCGAATCGAAATGGGGAACGCGGAGTCCAACGCATTTGTCGATCATCTCGTGAATTATAACAAACAGCTGAGCTCGCACGACGCGATCCGGGCGGAGCAGTTCACCGAGGCGCTTTGGGTGCTTGACAAGACGGAGCTGCGCTCGGCGACGGACTCGCGCGAGCCGCGGCCCTTAGGCGGTTTCCATCGCAAGCACGACAAGGTCGATAAGTGGAACCTCTGGGAGGAGTCGGAGGCGTGCTCGATGCTCCACCTCACCCTCGCGTTGCGGTCATCCTAC